AAAATAACAGACACCTCGCAGAAGATTCCGCAAAGAAAGCAAAAGACCTGACCTGTCCAGAGATCCAACCCCTGATCTCTTATATATGAAATAGTTTACCTATCCACTATACGATCGACCACGTGTGCGAACGTCTGTATTCGAGCTTAAATTGAGCCACGCACAGGATGGATCGGCCAGTGCTATGCTAAAACTACCACCCCCCTAACTCCTCATAGAGAATCGTTCGGCAAATTTTGAAAGCAGATTTGAGTTCAGCGTCCCAAGACCTACACGTCGATATGCATCTCATCTTGAATGGCCATGGCGACCAGTTGACCTTCCCTGGATTTGTAACTATACCCCATGTAGAGGAAAGATGCGCATTACAGTATTAAATCAAAGCGGTTCAAGTATCGTAGCGCAGTGCTCATAACTGTTCTGGCCGACATCCAACTCCCTGGAGGCATGAACGATATCGTCTTCTAATGAAAAAATCAAATTATTCGAAGACATCTTGAGTTCGTGCAACCTCTAATTCTTCGAAGCTTGTCCTCTCTGCAATCTCCACTGAGGCAATAACACCGTAAGGTCTCGTAGATTAGCCCTCCCTTCCCCCCATCAGATGTGCGTGCGCGCGAACATCATACGGGACGCTATAAGTTGAATCCAATTTGTTCATCCAACAGTTTCATATCCTGTCTCAAGGAATTAAACTGCTCTCTCTACGAAAACCCTACAGAACTTTTCCTCTCTTTCTCACGTAAATCTCTCGTCAGTTCTCCGATCATTCATCTATTACTGATTGTTTACACTTACATTTACATCTGGTGGAAACGTCTTTCAGAAACCAATTGATCTTTAGGAGGCACTCCAGCAGATAGGTTGTCCGGAAAGTTCTCAGCGTTTTGGGTGTTTCACTTCAAACGATCATAACTTTCTTAATACTCATCGGATTTAATCGAAATAGGCACCGTTCGAATCAGCACACTTTTGTGCCATGTGAAACCATCAAATAACAAAACTGGGTGGTAGAGAGTCGAAGTCATGTAGACGGTGGATAGACGAAGTCGAAGTCATTGTAGGCCTTTTTTGCCTGGTCCTGATTGATGAAGTATTTCCAGCAAGGAAGTTCTGAAATGTCTTGAAAAGGTGATAGTCGGTTGGTGAAAGGTCTGGAGAATATGGCGGGTGAGGTAGAACTTCAACCCCCAATTCGTTCAATTTATGGATAGTGATTTGTGAAACGTGTGGGCGGGCGTCATGCAAAGGAATCGGACCCTTTCTTTTGATAAGTGTTGGCTGCATCTGACAAAATTTTCGGTACATTTCGTCGATTTCTTCACAGTAGGACTCTGCTGTGATGTTTGGCCTGGTGACAAAAAGTTATAGTGGATCACACCAGCCGATGACCACCACACTGTGACCATGACCTTTTTTGGTGAAGATTCGGCTTTGGAAATTGCCTCGGTGGTTCGTCGGCGTCCAACTACTGTCCGTAACGTCTGTTATCATACATGATCCACTTTTCATCACAGGTGACAATTCGGTCCAAAAACGGGTCGTTTCTGTTGCGCAAAAGCAGTGAAGAGGAAACCTCGAGACGTGCCAATTTCTGCCGGTCACTCACTTGTGGGGCACCCACTTATCGAGTTTTTTCACCTTCCCAATGCGTTTCAGACCATCTGCAACACTGGATTTGCCAACGCCTAGCTTTTCTGCAATCTCTCGAACTGTTTGGGATGGGTCAGCCTCCACAACGCCTTCAAATCCTCGTCAGGTATTGCTTTAGGTCGACCGCTACGAGGTTCATCTTCAGGGCTGAGATCTCCAGAACGAAATTTGTCGAACCATTGCCGCACGGTGCTTTCTCTAGCACTATTGGGCCCCACACCTGGTTAATTTGTTGAGCTGTCTCGATTGCGGATTGACCCAATTTTAGTCGAAGAAAAATATCGTCTGAAGTTGCTCTTTGGACATGCTTCAAAAAGACTTGAGAAAAGGGGGTTTATCAAGCAATGCTGAAACGGCAATTATACCATCAGCTAGCGCGAAGAATTCTGTTCATGCTACTGAGACGCAGAGCGAATGGTTTTCTTTAATCCAGCCAATGAATGTACAAAAAAATAACACAAAAGCGCTTGAAGAAACTTTCCGGACAACCTAATAGAATCTTTTAAGGCTAAAGAATCATAGGCGAACTGACGAGTAACAGAAATCCAAAGCAGACAACAAGAGAAGAAAGTCAGTAGTTTTCGTAAAGAAAGTTAAGCAGTTCGGAAAAACTTGGAACAGGAAAAAATGGAAATGTCGGTGATGTTTAGTAGAGACATTGAGTTCAGACTGAGAACTCATGTTGTCCGCTTTCCTCTGCTCAGAGGTTCCTCGAACGCGGCCTAATGGTACACTAAATTTCATAAAATTGTCCCTTTCTAATGACAGACTAGATTCAACAAGACTGTCCTTTTTGATTCTTTTTCTGGTTCTACTAGATCCATTTATTGTGAAACCAATTTAGATTACGTTTTCAAAAGTCTTTCACTGAGTTTTCCCCACATGGACTCCTCTCTTCTTGTTGCTGGTTCCAAACTTCAGTTATTCAATGTCTCATAAGTTCTTCGACTATGAACTTTCATCCCACCAGCTGGCGATGTCCGCATGCTACTCACACGTGCGGCGATCGGGAGGGCGCCCAAAGTTATCCAATGGGTTATCTGCGGGATTATAGAATATCTCGCGTGAAGAGAAAAAACGAAGTTTACCTCTATGACTGCCTTATGAATAACGTCCTCGAGGAGAGATCATCCGGGGATATTTCTCGCAAATCACAGGTTCCATTGCGGAAAAGCGCCGTAACACCCAGTTCTTGTAGAATTTGCTTCATTTCTGGTGACGACGACATCTTGAATTTTGGAATTGTCACCTGAAAACGTAAAACAAGTCATAACACAAACACACGATCTATACTACTATCGAGCCTGCGGAGTATAGCATCAAAAGACGATCTATTTATTCATCTCCGTGGATCCTAGTCCTTGCTATGGTCCGAGCACCAGTAGCTGTGCCACTTTCTCCGCTCTAAAGGGCACGGGACCGGCTGGATTGTTGTATACTGCCTCATCTCAGAGTGCGGTCTCAAAACTCCGCCTGCGCTATCTTTAGAGGTGCAGCACTTGCCTCAATTCCAAAATCTCGCAGAGGTCACGCAGTCCAGAGATAAAGAACAACAAGAAGTGTTGCGGAAAAGCAAGTGGTTATGGTAGTCAGGCGTGTCGCTGGCCGCGCGGTAGAAGGATATTCCCAAAAACTAAAAGAGAGAGAAATGATTGGCTATCTGTCAACTTTAATCGCTACCGATGCATACTTTCGGTGACAAGCGAAGATTCACACTCTTTCAAAATCTAATTCGTCGGCGTTTTAGCAATGTCTATTGAACTTCGTAACAGAAAAATAGGAAGTAGTCATGTTATGCAGATTTCAGCCCTCGACGGAGATTGTGAGATGGAGAAAGAATGAGAAATCTCGGTCCTTAGAACTATGTATGATAGACAAGAATCCTTTGAATGAGATAAAGCACAGATAAAAGGTCCTCCTGCGCAGCTGGTAGCGGCGCTTCTCGCCGCAGAATTTTCATCCTCTTCTCTACAGTAGAAAGATAGTGAAAAAATAGAATTGAATCAGGCTTCAATCAGATCGAAACAATCTGCAAACAGTGACCCACATTTACTCCATGAAATCGTTCTCTAGCTTGGCCTAAAAGTTCTCTGATCTTATCACCAGTGAGTTCTTCTCGAAATTGAGTGAACGACACATTTTCTGATGGAAGGAAAATAATGAATTTATAGTTCTCGTTCTGAAATTTAATGACATTAAGAAGTCATGGGAACGAAGGATGGAACTGACTTTGTACGGCAACGCAAGCACTTTTGTTGTTCCGGTGTCGAGATAAGAACTGGCCTTCATATTTGCCTTCGTCATGAATGATTCCTGGAATTGGTCTACATGTAGTTTTTTTGCTAGTTTTATCTTTTCGTCCCCTTGCCCAGTGTGGTACAGTTATGTCGGGCGCTGTTCGCGGAGGTGGGGGGGGGGGCCGGCACTGCACTTCAACGACCTTCCCATCGTTGACGAGTCTTGCTCCGCAAGAGTTAACGAGGTTTCCATCAGGAGTGAGAGCATTGTAACCAGAACTAGTGAACAACGGAGGGCAAAATGCCCCTATTCCCCTCCCCCCTCGCCTTCCCCCCCCCTCCCGGTACGGCAAAACCCTGCGCCAGTGCTGTCGTATGCGAGGTTTCTCTGTTTCTTCTATAATCGTATGGAAATCTGCGCCGGACGGTATGAAATGTTGATATATACGGAAGGGTAGTATGTAGAATGGTAAGCACGAATTGCAAACCTCACGATCGCGCGTTGAGTCATGGAAAGGCTTTCTTCATGGTAGGCTATAAACTTTGGAACATTTCTCGTTATTGGCCATTTCCCTGATAGTAAACGGCCGTTCCTCTGTATGGTAATCTTTCTAGTCAGCCGTCGAAAGTCGTCTGAGAGGTAACTTTTCTAGCATTCGCCGAGTTTGCTGGCCGGAGACGATTACTGTTACCGTCTGAAAGCAAAAGCGTAGAAGATGTCCGCTTGCCGAGTCCATCTGATTATGGATTTTGCTTATGACTCAGTAGCAATTTGTCCTAGTGTGGATGAGCTGGTTTCTCATACCGGACTTCATGTTGTCCTAGAGCGCAAACTAGTCAATCCCTACAGTTTAATAGCATGGCGGAAAAGTCTGCTTATGTCTTCATCCTTCCACTATACCTGCAGTATAACGAAGCAGGCTGTGGTCGATGATGTGAGCAGTAATACCTTAGTTTAGGACCTGAACCACTAATTGTTGCCCTATTTCTTCTTTTGCCATATAGAGCAGATATGATTTCCTACACCTTAGCTGTGTTTCACTCGAACTTTTTCTTGTCCAGAGCATGAGAGAAGCACGGGGCGCTAGTATGGGCACAAGTACGATGGACCTCACTATCGGACATCTGATACGAACGCAATGTTTCAAAGCGAAAGCCTTTAGTGATTAATAGCACGAAGTGACGCCGGGTGTCGATGTGACACGTTGGGAGCTGCGAGTCGCGAATTCACCCGATGAGGAGCTTCTGCCGTTCACGACCGTCCTCTACACAAAAGCAGCTCTGAGCGGATCGTTCAGATCAGAGGGGAAATTTTATGCCATCTGCTTGCAACATACTAGGGCCAGACGGCAAATTGCCAAAAGGTCACACCGAAATTCATGCAGTGGAGATGAGTGCTTCCACCGCTGAAGCCCAGAGACTGCTCCTGCTAGTTGTCTTCCGAACTAAGCCGTTACCTAGAAGACCCAACGCAAAATCAAGTCAAGAAGATGCTCAACATTGCGTAGAGGCGGCCAGGCATTGTGGAAGGAGATGGCATTCATAAGCCAGCTCGAATTAAACTGGCCGAGAGTTCACGATAACTAAGTTCTGTTTTTGCTCTTATATATAATTTTTTTATAAATCTCGTAACTAAAAGCGACGAGAGGTATTGCGCTGTCTACGTTCTTTTGACGCAGAGCTGAAGCATTGTGCGAAATAGGGGCGTAGCGGTAACCGGATAAAAAACCTTCAAAGAACCGTGCAATTATTAAGAGAGCTTATTTGAAAATCTTCAACGCCTCGGAAACACTACTTTTCCGTTTGGATAGATAAGTTCGCGCAAAAAATCCCATGCAGTTTCAATCGGCTGTCGTTGACAGGCAAATCAATATTTCACATCAAAATTATTCAAGTAACTGATTCGCTACTCCCATTGTTTTTTCCGGTTTATAACATGTCAAATATGTCGAAATGTGGTGCAAAGCTTTTGAGCAGTTGGTCTCAGGCGGCGATTTCTCGTAGTAGAAATAATAATACAAGATGGTACAATGATCAATAATACCTCAACGGTAAGTCCTTCATCGCGAAAATCAAGGACATTCTGCAGTCACATCGAACTCTTCTAAGACTTGGTTATTGTAATCTTCGTTGATGGTTGTAGCTGTAAATTGAATCCACTTGCTATTATCACTGTGTGCTTGTAAACTCAAGATTCTTATTTAGGCTTTCCCATAAGTTCCGGAACGATTTGGCTGTTTTTGGATCTTAATATTTCTTGCTTTTCTCTCATGTTGTTGTTTTTTTTTTGCAAAAGGAGTCAATATTCCCATATTACTCTTTAAAGGGTCACATTTACGGTAGGCGCGAGACGAGTCATTTCGCATTAACGGCCAGAATGTTCCAGTCGTCGCTGGAAGAGGTGGCGACAACGGTCCCTCTTCAGCCTATCTAGTCATGCTCCTTACAGGTCTCTTCGCAGGTACACCGCTCTCAGGTAATCAGTAGGAGCCGCTTTTGTATCAGAGCCTCCCGAAGAACCGAAGGGGAGCATGCTTTTAACGGTGGGCTGTTGCCCTATGACCGTCAAGATCGTATGCCTACTTTGCCTCTTAGGCTAGGGCGAATGCATTTTGCTATTCTTCAAAGTCATTTGTCCTATTAATTACCATGTCTGGCTGACGCGCATTTCTGCGCGCAGGGTTAAACTTATGGTACTGATGCTTGGACAGGATTTCTGCGCTGAACAGTAACACTGAGCCTAATTCCTATGTTTCCAAAACAGGCCCATTTCATCATGTTTCTCCCTTTTAATGAACACTTGCCAATGTTAGGCTCATATCATATTTCTAAAATCACCATTTGTTGGAAATCGGACAGCATAGCGGTTGGAAGGATTCCGATGGTAAAAATATCGAAATCACAGTGGCTCTTATCATTCCTCACTGGGCAACAACTCCATACATCCTTTTTTCGGGGAACTCGAGCGTTTAGCGGTGGAAGCAATTCCGACCGCTAAACTGTAGCGGAGATTTTTGTGAGGGAAACAATTCTTGACTCATTGAATGAATTCCGCCATTCATTCTTTGGCTACGGTGATTGGTGAGCAGATACGGGCTCCAAAGCACCTTCGCTCATTGTCAGAATTACCTTCCCACCTTTAATGTCTCGCTGACAGCTATCTGAATTACTTTGCTGGAGCAGTTTCCCAGTGTCTTGCATAACTCTGCTTGTGAATTTTCATAACCGAGAATTTCATTCAGCTGTTATCAATTCCTGCCACCCACCAATAATGTTCCCATACTGCCCCTATATTACTTCTTGGGAACCAATGTCTCGTCGTTGCTGTGGCCGGTGTTATGAATTTGGTGACCCTCGCTTTCTAGAGCCCTTATGATATCTTATCGGCTGTTATCAATTCCTGCCACCCACCAATAATGTTCCCATCCTGTCCCCTATCTTGCTTCTTGGAACCAAAGTCCTAGCGTCGCTGTGACGCGTGTTATGGAGTTGGCGACCCTCGCTTTCTAAGACTCCCTATGGTATCTTATCAGCTCTTATCACTTCCTGCCACCTACCAATAGTGTTCTTGCCCGACCTCCTACATAACTTATCAGTTTGAGCGCACAGTCGCTGTTTTGAAGGAAGTTATGAATTTCCGGTCCCAAACACACATTACAGAACACAAAGACATTCAATTCACACACACACACCAACAGACAAACTTAGCGGCATCTATTAGTATAGCTAGGATTTTCTAGTTAGTTTGTTCACATCCTTAAGTATTAATCCTTGCCTAGTATTTCTCGCTCTGTCTCTCAGATCTGTTCTTCGTCTGTCATTGAATTCATAGCGGACGTCCCAAGCTCGTCTGTCCAGGAAGTTGATTCCACAGCTAGTGTATTACGGGGCGGTGACAACAGGGAGTGACTATCAGCTGATAGATTGCATAAGAGGCGTCCAGAAGGGGAAGGGTCCATAGATCGCGCAGTCACAGCAACACCTTGGACGTTTGTTCAACGTGCTGTATGGGGCATATGGCACGAGGAAACCTTAATTAGGTGGGTGACAACAACTGGCTAGCCAGTGATGAGCCTTGAGAAGTGAAGTATAGAATGGGACAGGTCGCCATACTCATGAGCAGGACACAGCTTACAGCTAAGGGCGGGGGTTGACTTCCAGCAAGATGCTGTAGAGGAGGGGAGGGTGGGGACGGCGACGCGCGAGGTGACAAGGGAGTGATAACAGCTGGCAATATAGAGGCTGATATGCGAACGTATGCGTTGTTCATCAGTCAAGTGCCTAGGACCTTAAGCACTAGCGAATTTATAGCGTGTTCCAGTGATAGGGACATTGATATGGTATCATGGCATATCATTGCCATCAATTCGACAAGACAAGGACAAGAGGTCATCCCGTCTAACATCTTTTAAACTGTTACTGCAAGTTTAGAGGTGCAGATGACGGCAAACTTCTCCCTTCAGACATCACTCTTTTCTCGAGAGCAGTAGAAATTAAAACTCATACAACTATCCTCTATACTATAATTGTCTGACGTCCGACAAGCGGGTGGGGGTGCACGGTATGTAGTCGCCTTAAAAGGCAAAGTCAGGGAACTTCGAGGAAAAACCGGAGATCTGAATAATGTGACACCTCATGCGTTCAGTAGCTTTTTTCCTTTTAAGCTTCCAATTAGGGATAAGAACGAATAAAAAGGGAGCATAAGCAACCCTGCCATCTCCTCATACTTCAGCTGAGGGATTTGCATAGTAATGACAGAAAGAAGCGCCCTTCATTGGTAGGCAGTTTCTTGCAGGTGGCAGGCGAACGAAATAGAGAGAATTCCGCTTCTTTACTGAGTGATCCTTACTATTAATATACCGCTAAGTATGCTCTGTTGAAGTGACCTGTGATGTGTGTGTGTTTGTGTGGATGTGTGTGTGCTCCGTTTCATGTACTGTCACCGAAATTCCATGCGAGCGTCGTAGGGCAAGATAGCGACGACAGTTCCCAGGAAGGGATCATACATTGGCAGGACGGGAACGACTTTTGAGTGGGTGTAGAACGGTGATAAGCCACTGATTAATG